GCCTAGCGGACAAATACTGACCAGAGTCAGGGCTAATGACAATTGGTATCAGAGAACGGCCCCTATGCCCTCCTGGCCGGTGGTGGGAGAAAGAGCAAACCTCAAGCGAGGACAGCTTGAGTCAAGCCAGAGGGTGGGGTGGTATGTATAGGACAAAGGCCAGCACACCTTAAGCAAATCCAAATCAGGTTAAAAAGGAGACGGGGGTTAAACGATCTATACATAAGGAGGGTAGCTTCTCTTGGTTTAGCGGCGCTTTTTGGGCCGGGTTGTAAAGCCTGCCTGAGGAGACAAATCCGTGAGGGTTGCAAAGCCCTAAAGGCGGAACAATACGTGAACAGGTTCAGGAGACTATGACAATTGGTTTATCAGAGGCCGGCCCTGTGCCCTCTGGCCGGATGGTGGGGCAAAACCTCAACGAGGAACGACTGAAGTCCCAAGTTGGGGGGTTGTATGTGGGCAAGGCACTAGCACACCTTAGGCAAAATCCCACATCCGGTTAAGAGACGAGGGGTAAAACGAATATAAACATAAGAGGGGTAGCTTCTAACTTGGTTAGCGCGCTTTTGGGCGAGTTGCAAAGCCTGCCTGAGGGACAAATCCGTGAGGGTTGCAAAGCCTAAAGCGAACAATACTGACCAGGTCAGGGCTATGACATTTGGATTCTTGAATTTTATTTAAAATTTAATATTTTAAATATTGAATTTGGCTCATAACATGAAGTTTATCAATTTAAAATAAAAAAAATAATTAGAATTTATCGTATCTATATACACACACACACATATGCTCACATGAATATGAGAAAAACACAGGAACTGATAAAAAATAAATTAGGAATAATTTATATTTAGAAGCAATTCCATTTTACTTTTTTAATATTAAATGTATTTATAATGTCATAAATAAACTTTCTCAACTTATAAAAAATAGCAGTTGTATTAAATACTTTCTCACTTATAAAATAGCAGTTAGTATTCATAATTTTTATTTTTTTTTATTTTTTTTTTTAAATTTTTTTTTTTATTTAAATGTGGTACAAATTCATTTTATTTTGTATCTTTTCCATGTATCAATGTTTTGGAGAACATATATAAGAATAAATTGCCAATTTTATATTTTAGTATTTGCTTGAATGTCAATTAATTTCATAAGTCTTTATAAAAAATTTGTTAGTAAAATATACTACCGAAATTTTCTTTAATTTTGATTATAACAATGCTAAATAAATCTATTTAGCAAGTATTACATAATTTATTTTCATTTAATAGTGAACGAAATTTCTAAATGCACTTTTTCACTATTTTTTTACTTAAAAATGGGGAAAAAAAAAACTTCAATTTTCAATTTATACAAAATAAAAATAATATTTAATATCTAAATTTATTATAAAAAACATGCTAGTATGAAAATATATGAACATGACAAAGGCAAGTGCTAATTAATAAAATCAGTTTTAAAAAAATAGAATATACACTTGGGCAAGAAATTGGAGTTGGTGATGATACAGTAAAGCAGGCAACACCATATTAGCACAGGCTCAGGAATTGACGCTAAGCCCCACAAAAGATCCACAAAATAGGCCTAAACACTGCCTTATTTGGGAGTTCCCAAAAATGGTGGGCAAATGATAAGGAAATATACCCTTTTGCTTAACTAACTTTTGCTTACTAATATTTCAAGTAAACCTGTGGCCCACCTCTTTTGTTGGGTCATTGAGGTTGGCCCACCTGATGGTGCACACCCAAGAAAGGCGGGTGGGTCGGGTTTGCAATATACGGATCTCCAACCTCTTTCATGGATCTTTAGACCCGTTAGGACATCTTCTGTTGTGGATCCATATTGCCAACCAACCTAAGATAATCCCAAATTCATCAAATACCATGCGTTAAATGCTATGCATAAATTCACCCATTTATTTTATGTATAAAAAAAGTTTATCGCATTCTAATTTTTTACTTTAATTTATAAAATTATATTTATTAAATATTTTGAAGTAATAAATTATTGTTAGGGCCCGACAATAAAATTACGAGAATAATAATACAGCGGAAAAATAGAAATATGACACACAGATATTTACGTGGTTTACCCTTTAACTGTTTAGGGCTACGTCCACGGGACAAAAACCGAATATTTCTTCCACTATATAAAAAGTAGGCTTACAAGGAGAGTAATACAAAAATAGTGGCGCTTAAATAAAAAGTAGGCTTACAAGGAGAGTAATACAAAAATAGTGGCGCTTAAAAGTGTTTCCCAAAAACACCCTAAAACTGGAACAACTCTCTCAAATTTCTCTTCTTTTTCTTTCACTCTTGTTGTGTAAAGAAGCGTTACGCCATCTCCTATTTATAGGAGAGATGGACGCGTGATTAGGAGAGATAGACACGTTAATCACGCTTCCACCGAAAAACGGATCACCTATCAAGAAGAAAATTTTCTTTCTCATCTTTTATTTTCAACAAAGTGTGGGTCCCACTGAGTGGACACCGCACAACAATTATTCTATCGAATACTTGAATTTTTAATATTATATCGATTAAATAGTTATTGAATAATTGAAAAATATGAAAATTATTGTTTCATAGATTATATTAACTGCACAATAATTGAATATTTTACATATAAATATTAAAACTACTCAAAAATTATTATTACTAGTATGTGAGGGATAACACGTTACTGAAGTTTGTGACTTCAGGAGCATAAGTTTCTAACCTGTTTACCCCACGCAGTTCCATACTCGTAGCCACAAGCAGCGACGTGATAAGCTGCCTCCATTGAATCAGAAAGATCGTTTGGTCTATTTGTCTTCTCTTCCAATGCATTAGCAGCTGATGTGATAAACTCCTTTGAGTTCCCAAATATATTTAGCAATTCTTTATCATCCAAATTACCTGCTCACCCAGTCATTATTTTCATTAATTTACAGTCATATCTTCATTAAGTTTAGTCATTAGGGAGATAATTCAATTAATTAACAAAATAAAATAAAAAAAATTGAGAGAAGCTTAATCAACGATAATCTACATAATTTACCAGATGACTGGACATTAGTGAGAAATTTAGCAAAAATATCCAATATCAGGTTAGGGACATAAGGCCCTAGATTACTTTTCCCTGTGGAAACATCCTAGTCCCCCCGTAGACAGGTCCTTGAAGTCCGACTAGTCCACGTCCTAATATCACTAAAACAAATACCAAAAATATTAATTTTTATTACAAAATGTCTAAAAAAAATAGTATCTCGCAACAAAATCAAACTTTTGTTAATAAAAAAAAAAGAAAGCCACATACCTTTACCCCAAAATCTATATTTCAAGTTTTCAATTTTTGAACTCTCTCTATTTCCTCTTAAAATTCGGTCCTATTTGCTAACAAATTGTTTTTAAAAAAACCGATTCCAAGCATCACCTATACTACAGGAACTACCAATTGATTTCCCAAATGGGGTCCATCCTTAAGCATCCATCATAAAAATTGTGGAGTTTGGACAATGCAGCATCCCCTTCGTCTCTAGAACACTAAAAAAGAAAGCACATTGCGTGGACCGGCGACGATCTGGGATTATTGGGCAAACATTATGTCGCAATCCATATTTAACATAAGGGTGGCTTTGTTATCGAATTCCAGAAGACTACTGGTCTGATTTGTTTATCATCATTAAAAAAGTAAAATTAACTTTAATCACTACAATATCTAATTAATTTTCAATGATTGATTTAATTGGGATGAAGAAAATACATACCAGTACATTCATGGCACCTGCTTTGTAGTGGTGTGGATGATTTGGCCTCTTCTCTCTCGATATATAAATCAAATGAGGCAACCCATTTGAAAGACCTTCCTTATTTTCCCACATAATCTACAGAAACAACCATAAAAGGGTAGAAAATAATAAACAAATTGAATTAAAAATTAATTTAAAATTTTCTAAAATAGGGTGGCCTTATTGCCAGAGTTGTTATTTTATAGATTCTAATATATTTTAGCATTTAGAATAATTAAGGAGTTCAAACCCTCAATTAAAGGTTCAAACCCTCGAATTAAAATTAATTAAAACTTTGAAATAATTTAACAACAAATAAAATAGGTATACTGACCTTAATTATTAGTTAGGACTGGTTTTACATTTATTTGGAGAAAAATGCAAAATCCACCGGTTAGATCACAAAAGAAGGATTCTTTTGGCGGCATCTTGATTTGCGAGCTAAGGACTCCTCGACTTCATCCTATTAATAAAATGAACCAAAAGCCAAAAAAAAAAAAAATAAAGATAATGGTATTTAATTATCCAACAAAGTTTAATTTACATATTAATCTATCCAGTATGCACTAAGATATGGTATGTCTAATATATCAATTTAGCAAAAAGATTAAAATAGCACAAGCTTGTCCACATTCATAATTAGATGTAAGATTCTTTTAGCTTAGAAAAATGCAAGAAACCTCACCCGACAAGAGATTGGGATAGGACAAGTAGCAGAAAATTTTGTACCTTCATTTTTTTCCTTCTTGTTGGAATTCATGAGCTAGCATCACTAGACAACATAGGTTATGATCCAGTGGTGAAAAGTATCTAAAAGGGACTCAACTGAATATATGTACTCTGTGCAAAAGGGACCCAAAGGTAGGCAAACTTGGGAAGTTTTCAAGCAGAGAGTAAAAAGGTGAGAGGAAACTCCTTCATCTGTAGATAGCAAGCAAGCTTACTTTGCTGGATAATCAACTGCTAATAAATGATATTACTGTTCATTGTTATATATAGGCGGATTCTAGCACATGGTCCTGCCGTTATTGTCAACAAACATATTCCACTGCTGGAAGAAAAAACTTTCTCCATCTCTGTAAAAGATTTATTAAAATAACAAAAAAGAAAAAACTTTATGATATATCAGTAAAAAAAAAAATTCTTATATAATAAATTTCAATGTACAAATAAAGGATTCTAGCTTGGTACATAATAAAACCAAAACCAATCTTCAAGTTTACAGAAGCGTTTTTATTAGACCAAACTAAAATGAGTGTGGAACTCTGCAATTGGAAATTTCTCAATGTGAAAAAAAACATAAACAAATAGTATAGATTTAGAGAAATGAATTAAAAGAGAGCCAAAAAAGAAAAGATATTCATTACCTTTGAGGGAGGCGTTCTGGGTATGTTTTGTAATCCACAGGGTTCCATTTTGTGCTGACAGTAAGAACCCAGACAAAAGTAAACCATGACTCGCATAAAAGAGCAAGAAGCCAAGAAAAACCATGATTCTTGAGAGTTAAAAGACGATAAACAATGAGAGAAGTTAGAAGAAAGAGGACACAAATGTCCAAAACTCTATGAATATGGTTTTTACGAGAATATTTTTCATATAGAGGAGGACAAACTGTATCCGCCATTGATGATTGAAGATGATGAGTAGCTATACGGCAAGCGTGGGCTCTTTGTAGTCATAGAGGTGTATATATATGGTTGTATACTTCGAATTCTCGCCGTTTGTTGTAAGTGTGACGTAACAATTATTTTTGCTTTTTGGTACTCCAATAATTTAATAAATAAATTCATTATTTAAAAATTATTTGGTACACAAATGATATTAGTGGGTTTTTTTTCTTTTTAATTTTTAGTAATATTCACTATATACATTTAGGGAAAATGTTAAAATCACGATTGTTCTTATTATTGTTATTATTATTTTGATTTATATCTCCATACTTCAGTTTGAGTAATATTCAAGTAAAACTTTCTTAACATCAGTAAATGAATTTGATAGTTAGAAGATAAAAAAGTTTTCAAAAGTTCAAGAGCTAAATTAAAAATATTTACTATTTAGTGGGTAAATTTGAAAATTTTCATTATTTAATGTAGAGGGTAAAGTTAGAAAAAAAGATTGGACTAATGGACCCACACCTGACCCATTCACGTTATGGCTGTATTCGGCAAGTATTTTAAGTAGCTTTTAGTATTTAAATGTAACTTAAAAAATTATTTAGTAATATAGCATTTGAAATAGTTTTTAGAGGTTATGATAACATTTTGTGAAAAGTTAACTCATGTAACATTTAACTTTTAGCAATTCATGAAAAGTTATTCAAATAGTTAACAACTAAACACTGCTTAAACAACTAAACTACTAACAAAACAATTACTTTATCGATCAGACTCTAAACTCTTGATATTAAGGACTATATTTTTTGAACTTCTAATCTTACAAGTAATATTCAGCTAAAGATGTAATCTATTTATATTAAACCAACGTACCAAGAGTAATTTTTTTTCAATTTGATAAAATTATCCTTTACACTTTACTGGTCTTCTTCTATCCTGGAAAAACAAAATATGAGGACCAAAACGAATAGCAAGTATTCACTTCATCATTCCCTGACTTGAGCAAAATTCTGGAATATTCTTGGATCCAATTATTGTAAATAAATTGGAAAATCCAAACTAGAAAAAATCTCTTCAAGTATTTTATTGATGCAATTGGAAAAAAAAAAATTAAAGAAAATTTCTTGAGCAACAGAATACGTTTCTGTCATATTATTGATTGATTCAAGTTGACCACTAATGCAAATAGTTGTATATGAAGACTTATTACTTAACTATAGTGTTAAAAACTATAAGAAAAGACAACTCTTTGAGGAACAAATCAAAATCATCAATTTTATATTCATCCACAAATATAAATCACCATTGCCGTAGTTATTTTCTATAGAAATTTTTCTTTTTTTTAACATTACCTTTTTACCCATTTCGATAACTGAAATCCAAATTTTATTGTTATTAATGGAACTCCTAATATTTTTAGGAACTTAATCGTAATTTATCTAAAAACTGTATATTTCTTAAGGACTATTAATAATATTTTATCCCAGATCGAGAGATCTTGCTCCTAATTCTACACCAACTTGATAGTAAAAAACACCGCTCCACACCAAACCAAGGCATAGCTTAGTGGTGAGTGCATAACAATCTAACAATAGATTCAAATTCGAAACTCTCATTTCTCAATACTACCAAAAAAAAAAAAAAAGAAAAAAAAAAACCACCGGTCCACATCAAAGCATAGCCTAATGGTAAGTGCATACGATATGACAATAGATTCAAGTTCGAAACTCTCCTTCTCAATACTACAAAAAAAGACACCTCAATTCTCTAATCTATCACTTACCCATACTATATAAAAATAGGAATGAGTGATAATAATGAGATTACCAGTAATAAAATATTCTTAGTCATTAGATAACCATTAGATAGTTAATAATAGTTTGAGTTTATTAAACAACTAGAGTTTTTAATAATTGATAAATTATAATTTTTAATATTCTTTTACAAGGTAATATCATTATTTTAATATATTATTCTAATTGAACTTTCAAGTGTTTATTATTATTTTAATTGAACTTTCAAGTGTTTATTGTTTTAATATATTATTCTAATTCAACTTTCAAGTGTTCATTATTTACAATATTAATTGGTTTAAAAAAAATTATTATTTTAATTTTAAAATAAACTTAATTTTAAATAAAACTTCCTAATGCCAAAAAATAAATAAAAAAATCTATAAAAATATGAAATTTTTTAATTTTTTAATTTTTTAATTTTTTTCTTATTTATATCTTATTTTCCTATATTCTAAGTTTTTCTTGAACTCAAATCAATATTCAATAACCCAACATCATATTATTAATTTTTTAAAGAATTACTATGCATAATTTAAAGTGTTAACCTTATCATTTTCAAAAAAATTAAAGTCTAATCTTATTAATTAGTAATATTTTTTTATTTTATTGTTTATAAAATTATTTTATTAAATATATTGACTTTTAATATGTCCTATCAATTAAATTTAGTCTTAAGGAAAAAATATTATTTCACTTATAATACAAATATTATTAATAATCTTAACATTATTATAAATATTCTAGAAAATATAGAGAAAATTTATAATCATATTAATACTATATAAGACATAAAATAATGAGTAAATATCTAGAAAATATAAGAGAAAAATTATAATCATATTTAATACTATATAAGAATAAATTAATGAGTATAAACAATGAGTAATACCGAATACTAACAATGTACAATGCACGTCACAAAAAATACTAGTATCTCAAAATACTCCTATAAAATTTTAGAGCTACCTATTATTAACAATTGATGTTGATTAAATTATTAACAAAATACTCTTATATATATAAACACATTATACAATATTTATATCTATACTATATATAAAAGTGGAAATGATGAGATTACTTATAATAACCTTAGTGAAATTTTAAAAATCCTAAAATATCTTTTGGGATAGTTGATAATATTTTAAGTTTATTAAATAACATGAGTTTTTAATAATTGACAAATTATGATATTAAATTATTAATCAATTGACTTTTTTAATAATTTTTTATTAATTGATTTATTTACCATTAAATTAAGTCTGGTTACATTCGATTATTTCTCAATTCATAATGAAATTAATTACTAAAATGAATTAATTACTAAATCAATCAATAATTATATTTATCTTTAATGGTATCTAAGAGTATTTATTTAAACTTTAATTTCTATAATACATGTAATTATTTATTTTATAGCAATATCGGAGTATGTTCCTAACTTTTTCTTTTAACATTTGTTTAAACTAAATTATTATATAAATAATGAAAGTATTTCAAATGAATAAGGAAAAACCATGAAAAAATAATTTAAGAATTTTTAATGCCAACATAAAATTATTTTCTCAAAGATGTAATGTTGTTGGATATTTAAAATAACACATGATATTTTCGTTTAAAAGAAAAGTTGTATGAACATATTATTTTTTATTAAATATATATGATAATGAGACGTTTGAAAATTTGTATATTTTATTTTATATTTTATTTTTTAAATATTTGATAGTTTTATTTATAATTTTAAATATTTTATTTAGAAGATTAGAGAAAAAAAAAGAAAAAGTACTTTACAAAATTTTTTAAATTTTTTTAAATTTTTACTTTTAAAATTTATTTTTAAATAAAATGAAAATATATATGTGTAGGATGACGAATAGTTGTGTAGCGTGCAATGTTATTTCTACCCATCAGGCCTCCTAATCAATAAAAAAATTATTTTTTTAAATAAATACTTATAGACAATTAAGCATTTCAAAAGTTTAAGTTTTATTTTTACTAAATTTATTATTTTAATGAATATATCTGATAATGAGACATTTGAAAATTTTTATATTTATTTATTAAATATTTAATTATCTTAGGATATAGATAAAAAAAAAGAAAATATATTCTTTTTGTTAATATTCTTTTTTCTTTATGTTTCTATGATTTGATTGGATATTTTTTTTTTAAAAAATAAATTTTCTAAATAGAATATATATAATATTTTATTTAGAAGAGAGATAAAAAAAAGAAGAAAAAAGTGTATTATTTTTACTCATATTTTTTTCTTTATGTTCGTAAGATTTGATTGGATATATTTTTTAAAAAGTAAATTTTCAGATAGAATTTACTTAATTAAACCCGAAATAGTAAACAGTTGAAATTTTTTATTTAAAAAGAATATATAATATTGTATTGATATATTTATATTTTAAAACGATTTTTTTTTTCATATAGGTGAGTTTGTGAAAGAATTTTATTCATTAATAATAATTTTTTATTTCTTTTTTCGTTACTTGAATATTTACTACTATCCATTTTTTAAATTTAATAAGAAATTAACATCTCTTTCTTAAATAAAATAGAATGGTCTATTGATGATTAAAACATTTTTAGTTTATTTTTAGTTTTCTTTATAGTTTTTTTCTTATATTATAAATCTGTTTCACTTAAAATAAACTAGTGTTTAGGAAACTGAAAAAAAAAAACGAGAACTATATATTTCTGTTTAGGTCATTTTTGGGGTTTTAAAAATTTGTGTGTATGTGCATATATTCCTTTCTTTGATACACTGGATGAGTAATAATACCACTGTACTCAAAGTGATTTTCATTATCAATTTATATCATCTTCTTATTTCTTTTAGTAAAAAATAATTTATTATTATTTTTCATTATAGTTATATATAGATATTAATTTGGGGTTGAGGGTATGAAATTGGAGATTGAGTGATGGCTTAATTTTCTTTTCTTAATTTTCTTTTCAGGCCACCTCATTAGGATTTGGCACCTATTAGGATTTTAAATATCTACATTTATAAATTAGGAACTAAAAGATAGGTCTCGGGAAAAATAGAATTAAATACATAAGAAGTAATATTACAAATAGTTTGTATAGCAAAATATAATATAAATTAGTCACTTGTATTTTTTTTACTATAAATAAAACTTATGCTTTAACATTATATAGATTTAAAAAATGAGTATATAACGCGCATTGTCAACGTGCAACATACAATGCATGTCACGCCCCGACTCTAATCACCAGAGGAATTGTCTGCTTTGG